GGGGGGGGGGGGGGGGGGGGGGGGGGGGGGGGGGGGGGGGGGGGGAATCTGTGTGCGGATGGAGGTGCCCATGGGTGGGGGATCTGTGGGGAGGAGGCCCGCAGCAAATTAACATGAACACAGGAGATGTGGGTGCCGCCCCCCCCCCGGGGCCCTGTGCCAGCCCTGAGCTCCCGGGCACCGCCCCCACCCCCTGGGTCAGCCCTGAGCCCCCCTCCTTGTGCTGTGCCAGCCAATTGGGTGTAACTCTGAAGATACCAGCTGGGAGTCTGAGGCCTAGTCTACACCTGAGACGTAGGTTGTCCTGGCTACACGGTGCAGGGCTGCGCGTCGTCAGGGCGAGTGACCCCTGGAGCTGCAGCTCAGGCGTGGCTAGGAGCCTTCCATCCATGGCTGTGGCCAGCGGTGACTCGCGGCTGGAGCCCTTTATAGCCACTGCCTGAGCCTGTGCCGCTTAGTGCGAAGCCATCGAACCCCCGCCCCTCACTCCCCAAGGAGCTGCTGCCGGTCAGGAGAGAACTGCAGTAGGTGAGGGGTTAGCGCGACAGAGGGCCTTGTTAGTGCCTGGCTCGTTAGTGCCTGGCTCCTCGTGCCATTAATATTTATAGCTGGTGCGAATGTGGAAGCTTAGCTTGGCTGCTGCTTCGGCTGGCCCTTTTCACCCAGCTGCCTCGGCTCCAGACGTGACAGAAATAGCTCCTTCTGCCCGCAGCAGCGCGCCATGTGGGAGCAGCCCTGTAGGACTGCAGGTCGCAGAGTCCCAGTCACACGGGGAGCCTGTTCGGAGCCTGCCCCATGCCCAGGACGGACGAGATCCTAGACAAGTTGGGGGCCCCATTACCTCACCAAGGGCAACTGGCCGGCGCCTTCGGAGCCAGATGCCAGGTTGAAATCTGCTTTCATCACCCCGTTGGGGCTCTGTGCATTCCTGGTCCTGCCTTTCGGCTCCAGGGGGCGTCGGCCACCTGCCAGCGCTGGGTGGGTCAGGCACAGGGGGAGGGAGCACTTGGCCCTGGCGCACATGGATGACGTGTGTCTTTAGCCAGACTGCGGAGGAGCCTGTGTCCCAGGTGAGGAGGGGGCTGGGGCGTCTCCAGGAGGCCAGGCTGGCTATAAAGGCTGGGAAGTGCAAGGTGGGGATGGCCGAGGTGTCGTGCCTGGGCCTCAAGGTGGGAAGCAGCTGCCTGAGGCCAGAGCCAGCCATGGTGGAGACGACCAGAGACTGACCTGCTCCCCAAACCAAGAAGCAGGTCCAGGCCTTTATGGGGATGGTGGGACACTGCTGGAGATTTGTACCCCACTTGAGCTCCCTAGCAGCCCCATCACAGAGCTATGTAAGAAGGGCAAGGTGGTCTGGACTGAGCAGTGCCAGGGGCTCTCTGGGGCCCAGTGCTGGTGAGCCCAGACTTTGACAAGCCTTGTGGCGTTCACAGACGCCCCAGACGCAGGGCTGGGTGCGGTGCTGATGCAAGCCAATGCGAAGGGGGAGAGACACCCCACCGGGTACCTGAGCGGGAAGCTGCTGCCCCGGGAGCAGAACTATGCGACCATCGAGAAGGAATGCCTGGCCACGCGGTGGGTGCTTAAAAAGCTGCAGTCGTATCTATTTGGGAGGCACTTCACTGTGTACACTGACCACTCTCCTCTGACGGGCTGTACCAAAGAGAGGGGCTAATGCCGAGCTCCTGCAATGGAGTCTGACCCTCCAGGATTATGAGATGGAGGTGGTCCATGGGAATGCAAAGGTTATAGCCGATGTTTTGTCCCAGAGAGGGGGGCCTGCACTTCCCCAGGCCATTAGCTGAAGGGACCCTGCTCAGTTCAGACTCGAAGGGGGGGGGGGGGGGGGGTGAAGAAGGGGGGGGTTTTCTTAATGTTGTGTATGATTATTGTGCGTGCCTCGGTTTCCCTGTGAATTGCATGTCTGACCAGGTGGGGGAAGGAAAGATGTTGATCTTTGCTGAGATCCCTAGAGGATCAGATGCGACTGTCGCTGGCTACCTGGGCCCAGCCAATGGCCAGACAGTTTGTCACTTCTGTCGCTCGGACGGGGAGGGGTCAGAACATTCACACCCCTGAGTGACATCGGTTTTGCCGACATAGGCTGCATTGTAGATGTGGCCTAAGCCAGGGGAGGTGGCAGTGGCAGGAAGATTGTGGCTTGTAGCCACCCCTTCTCAGGCTTGGCTGGGGAGCCTGGCTAGCGCAGGGGGTGCCCTTCCTCTTGGAGTCTGGACTGAGGCAAGGCCCTAGCGTGGCGCGTACTAGGCGGGAGCATCCTAGGGCTGCCAGCTGGCTGGCTGGGCCTCACACTGAGCAAAGGGCCAGGAGTCATGAGACCTGGTTCTTCTGTTAACACGGACTTGCTGGGTGGCTTCGGATGTCGCCGCCCTTGTGGGCTTGGGGTCTGGTTCGTGCTCTCGTTCTTGAAACCCGTCTGAAGGACGGACACAAACATGCTGTTTAACAAACCCCCTTCACCCCGAGGTGGGCTCTGCCTTCCCGCCCCCTGCGGGGAGCATCTTGCACTACCCTTGGCAGGGTTTGCAGGGGAGGGGCTCTGGAAAGCTCCCACTCCGCTGTGCACAGAGGTAGCACTCCAGTTAATTGCTAAGCAGGAGCATGCCCAGGGACCGCGAGAGCTGGCAGCGCGGGCTGGCTCGCTCCCCATGCCTTGAAGACAAGGATTACAATTCAGGGAAGTGCTCCAGTTATTCTGGGATCCCAGGGCCCTGTCTTCCGGCACCACTTGCGCGCCCCATGTCTTTGTTTCAGGTTTATCTCTGTTGTGGAGTTGACATCTGTTAAAGGATTCTCACTGCGTCTGGCTGCATTAGTGACAGGAACTGCCAGCGCCTGTAGTCACTACAAATGCACCACCAAGAGGAGCCCGGGGCCCCTGCCTATCTGTCTGTCTGTCTGTCTGCTCTGCAGCCATGCTGTGGGGGATGGGGGGGTTCTCAGATACTTCTGTTACCCACGTTGCTGGGGCTCCGAGCCCCTCGAAAAGCCCCTGAGTCTCTCCCCCAGCAGGGGGCAAGCCCAGCACCTGGCACCTCCCACTTGTTCCTGCCCCCAGCGCTCCCCCTGCCATGGCTGAGCCCTGGGGCTGCTCCCAGCGTGGCAGGAGAGGGCCCCTCAGGCCCTCCTGGGACAGCGTGGAGCAGAGT